TACAAAGGGTCTCAGCGTCAAGTACAAAGGGTCTCAGCGTCAAGTACAAAGGGTCTCAGCGTCAAGTACAAAGGGTCTCAGCGTCAAGTACAAAGGGTCTCAGCGTCAAGTACAAAGGGTCTCAGCGTCAAGTACAAAGGGTCTCAGCGTCAAGTACAAATATTCGCTGCTCTGAAACGAGTAAAAACATCCTCTGTGTTGTATACTTAAATAAACCTTGTGCTCTGATACAGTTACGAATACAAACATTATTAGTGGGGTATTTACATTAATATTTCAAGACAGTGACAGACCCTTGGGGGGTACTATTTGTTTTAATTACAAACTGGACTTAATGGTAGCCTTCTGAAAGTCGGACTCAGTGCAAATGAGGACAGGCTTTTAGAAACTCGGTGATATTTATACGATGGTAAATTTGCTACCTCACTTAAACAATAGTTTTATACCAGGTCTGTACTGGAGTGAATGAATAGACGCCAGGACATTTGGTCCAACATCTACTGATGTGTCCTATAATACTCCTAATCATGTGTCCTAACCTTATCCTACTGATGTGTCCTATCCTTTACTCCGACTGATATGTCCAAAATGGTGTGTCATATCCTACTACTAGTGTTTCCTATCCTACAAATGATGAGTCCTATCCTACAAATGATGTTTCCAATCCTAGAAATGATGTGTCATATCCTAAAACTAATGTTTTCTATCCTTCAAATGATGTGTCCTAACCTGCTACTTATGTTTCCTATCCTACAAATGATGTGTCACATCCTACTATTGATTTTTTCCTATACTACAAATGATGTGTCATATCCTACAAATGATGTGTCATATCCTACTACTAATGTTGTCTATCCTACAAATGTTGTGTCATATCCTACAAATGATGTGTCACATCCTACTATTGATGTTTCCCATTCTACAAATGATGTGTCATCTCCTACTACTAATGTTTCCTACCCTACAAATGTTGTGTCATATCCTACAAATGTTGTGTCATATCCTACAAATGTTGTGTCATATCCTACAAATGATGTGTCATATCCTACTACTGATGTGTCATATCCTACAAATGATGTGTCTGATCCAACTCTAGTTGTAACACTGTGTTGATTTCCCCCATCTGTATCTCCCAAATCTTAATGTTACTGAAGGTAATAACTAGGAACGACCTTATGCTCAGATATCCTCGAAACCCCAGATCGTTTTAAAGTAAAATCAGCCCACTCCACTTTTTTTCCCCTTTAAAAAAAATAAACAAGAATGTATTGCTACGATCTGAAGCTATTATTATATCTTCATATTTAATCAGATCCCTTTCACGTGTAAATGTATTGATAGAAAAACGCCGACATGGCTTGTTCTAAGCCCGGGTGCAAAAAAAAAGGGGGGGGGGGGGTTGTGTGAGGCCAGCTCGAAGGAGGGTTTGTGTGAGGCCAACTAGGAGGATGGTGAGGCCAGCTAGGAGGAGGGTTTGTGTGAGGCCAGCTAGGAGGAGGGTTTGTGTGAGGCCAGCTAGGAGGAGGGTGAGGCCAGCTAGGATGAAGGTTTGCGTGAGGCCAGCTAGGAAGAAGGTTTGCGTGAGGCCAGCTAGGATAAAGGTTTGTGTGAGGCCAGCTAGGAAGAAGGTTTACGTGAGGCCAGCTAGGAAGAACATTTCCGTGAGGCGAGTGTGAGGCCAGCTAGGAAGAAGGTTTGCGTGAGGCCAGCTAGGATGAAGATTTGCGTGAGGCCAGCTAGGATGAAGGTTTGCGTGAGGCCAGCTAGGATAAAGGTTTGCGTGAGGCCAGCTAGGATAAAGGTTTGCGTGAGGCCAGCTAGGATGAAGGTTTGCGTGAGGCTAGCTACCTCAACCGTAAAAAAAAACTGTTACAGAAACGTCAACAAGAAGGAAAAAAAGAACAATATCAGCCCCAAAAGCCTCAAAGCCAAGGGACCTTCCTTTCAAAGGCAATAAACATTTGCTTATCGAATGTTAGAACCATGTAATGAAGCTTGAAAATCAACACAAGTGGGGGCAGAAATGAGAACGTACAAACTCCCACTGCTTGACATCTGTGAAACAAGATGGACACAAGCTGGACAATTTTAACTATAGCCTCGGGAGAAACACAAATGTACTCAAGGCAGGAGGAGGAAAATGCTCCACATACAAAGTCATTTCATGATGATACGGATGGCACAAGGGGCAGAGATAGGATACGGGAAAGGGGGGGGGGTGGAGTGGGGTGGGCATGGTCCAATATGTAGCGAGTATTAAACATTCTAAACAATACAAGATTTGTCAGCCTTTAAATAATAAGTCGTACCTGCGGCCCCAACAAAGTATAGTATATTTCCCATTAAGTTAACAAACCTCTCTGTGTGGCCCATGATATCTCGTTTTGTGTCTGGCCAGTGATATCTCGTTTTGTGTCTGGCCAGTGATATCTCGATTTGTGTCTGGCCAGTGATATATCGTTTTGTGTCAGGCAAGGGATATCTCGTTTTGTGTCAGGCCAGTGATATCTCGTTTTGTGCCTGGCCAGTGATATCTCGTTTTGTTTCAGGCCAGTGATATCTCGTTTTGTGTCAGGCAAGGATATCTCGTTTTGTGTCTGGCCAGTGTCGGGAAGATCAGAAGAACGGACAGAGGCCCGCTAAGGCCAAGAGACCCACAAATGCAGATTGTGAAGGGTCTACCACAGTAATGCAGTTCTTCTCCTAATTTACTTCTTATAAGGGAACCCTTATAAATTTTGTTTAATGACTAAAATAAGGTTGCTAATCCCTGACTTAAAACATCGGTTTCTACCGTGTATAGGTTCCTCGTGAGCTTTAGCTGTGACAACTTTAGTGTAGTAATGTGATGTTGTTTGTCATAGTGGTGAGATGTCGGTAATTAGGATTGATGTGGTGAATGTTTATTTTATTTTCTTTTTGTGTGGGGAAAAATATGTTCCTTATATTGTATATGGTGGGAAAAAAACGCATTTCATGGCTCAGGAATACCTGGATCCGGAGATCCGGGTGATCAGAGGAAAGTGTTTGGGATGTGAAAAGGTTTAATGAGATGACGCATTGTTGTTTGTGTTCGGTCGGGAATTCATCGGGACACAACTTACACATCATTAGTCAGAAGATGGACGCACCACCATACGTCCCTGCACGGGGACGTACTGCGTTGCTACTGGACGCCCGTTTAGACATGTGTCTGTTCTAGACTATGGAATATGGCCCTAGATGTAGATTTTCCCTGGACTCCTAAAAAGGGTTCTTACCTTGTCAACTTGATGACCCGTGAGAACACATATGGATGTAAGAAACAACCTCTGGGTGTAAGACACAAACTCTGAGGGTGTAAGACACAACCTCTATGGATGTTAGACGCAAACTCTATGGATTAAGTCATTTGTTTATATTCTCGAACCACCCCTTACTGGCTTTAAACTCCTCAGTTGGAGCGCTAGCAATAGGCGCATCTTTCACTAAATGATCGTGGAGGATCTTTACTTTCTCACAAATCACATCACCAGGCAGCTGTTGTTTTTGTTCCAAAAATGTGCTCTCGAAGAGGTCAGTTTCATAACCCATCTCATCACATCGGCTGTTTTGATAGATTCGTTTATTTTTTTTTTCAAAATGACTAAAATAGTCGCTTTGGACACAGCGAACATTGTAGCGAGCTGAGCCGCGCCTTTACCGACTTCATTCTTAACGATTAGATCTTTCTCAACTTCAATTGTAGCTTTCGTCTCGCTACCCTCGTAGGACCCACGGCAAAGACAATGAGGGTCTATTATATTATTTTTAAATATGCAAAACCAAGCACAGCAAATCACACGAGATGTTTTCATTTGACTACAGCTTCCGACGACGAATTGAATGACGAAGCGTGGGGGTGGCTCCGGCGTTGGGGATGACACGTATGCACAAAATAGACGTTCGGCTTCCCAAAGCAGCTTTCGGCTTTCGGAGTTCGAGTGAAAATTTGCACAAAAAATGTTCGTTCGGACTTCAAGTCGTTCGAGTTCTAGGGCGTTCGGACTTCAAGTCGTTCGAGTTCTAGGGCGTTCGGATTTCAAGTCGTTCGAGTTCTAGAGCGTTCGGATTCAGAGGCCATACCGTATTAGGGTATTAGTTCTGCTGAACAGGTGCGAACCGGCTGAATCCAATCACCTGACTGCAGTCACGACTGATCATCAACTACGTCAATAACTGAACAGAGGATTGCCTTGCTACTCAAATACCACCCATCCCCCAACCCCAGCTATCCCTTTTTATCCCATGTTTACCAAGGCACCTTGAATCAAGTCAACAATATATTAAACAAATTGAAAACTTACAACTTCATGTAGCCCAAAAGTTGTCCAAAAATCCATTCAGATTGGCAATAACAGATGTTTATCGCGAGGGAGTCTCAACCAATGCCGACTGATCCCCACAGAAATCAAATACAGAAACCGGATTGACCTCATGCCATAATTTTTTTTTATTTAGAACCCTCGAATTGCTTAATGGGCTCCAACAGCCCCAGAGGGTTCCTTGATTCTGATTGGTTGGCTTAATGGTCACAGCCCACTCGTTGTTTTAAGTCAGCTTCACTGGATAGCAACTCTGTCTCCTGCTGTTGATAGCCTTATATACAGGTTGTCTTCTCTTCAGTTGCTACTTCTCTAGTGGGAGGAACACTTCAACTTGCCGCTGCACATTGAAATGTCTAGCTGCGACTGATTAGAAAGAATACATCGCTTCCGTTTGGGGTAATAAAAATGTTGCTGGAAACGTTGCTCCTGATTTTGACGGTGACTTTTCCCTCGGCGACGACGGCAACGGCAACAAACAGCAGCTGTGTGAATGTCGTCACGAGCAAAGGTTTGAGAACACTCCAACACTCTCAGGTGGCGTGTGCGCCGGTACAGCCTGGGAAGCCGTGGCGGAATGAAGGACTCCAATATTTAACATGTGATTTTGGAAAAGTCTCCACAGGGATTTGTCCCAATGACAAAAGGTAAACACTTCAAGGTACACATTTCTAACAAAAAATTACGAGGTACACATCTCCAAAGGAAACGTCCTAATAGCACAAGGTAAACATCTCTAGGTAAACATTTCTCGGCAAACATTTGAAGGTAAATTTCAATTTTAAGGTAAATACTTCAGGACAGACATTTCAAGGTACACATTTCTAGCTTAACATTTCAAGGTGCACATTTCTATCTTAACATTTCAAGGTATTCATCTTTTGTACCGGGAAATTCTCTGACACTATATGCACTATTTTATTTATTTAAATTGACCAATTATTAGATATTTTATCATAGTGATCATTAATTTCTGTCAATCCCAGTTCATTTCATTAATGAACGTAATGCGTTCGATTTACCCGCTATAAAAATATGAGGATATTGTGTAGGAGTTGTGTCACTCGCACTTTATAAATTCTTAAGCATCTCAATGAATGTAATAATTGACCATAATTTAACCCCCAAAATATGACTAAATAACGTACACATGTTAAGTTTTGAAACTAATGATAGGAGTTTAAAATGTTATTTTAATTAATATACAACAATCTTTTTAAAAATATTCCTAAGACCCATCAGTAGTCTGCATGCTATCTGTAAACAAGGAAAATCCCACGGTAAATCAGAGCCCTTCTTACAGAGTTTTAAAAAGTTTCCAAAGTATTTGTAACCCTTTAAATCGAAATATTACTAGTGCCTACAAGAAAGGTGACCGCCGTAACCTAGAAAACTACAGCCCAATATTCCTGACCTTCGTACCATGCAAAATTCTAGAACAAATCATCTGTCGCCACACCTTGAACCACCCTGAACACTACAACATCTTGACCACCCTAAACCACGGTGTCCGATCTGGAGTCTCAACAGAAACTCAATTAATCATCACCACCAATGACCTCCTAGCCTCCTATGAAAAAGGTAAACAGGACGACATGGCGATTCTCGACTTTTCCAAGGCCTTTGACATTGCTCCACACAGCCTAAAATGAGTCAAACGGAGTAGGGTTAAACATGAAAACAATAAACGCAACAAAACAACGAACGTCTCGGCAGAAAGGCTTCGTCAGCAAACAAAACAACAGAAAAAACGGTATTAAAAAAATTAAGAAATAGCATGGATACTATGACCCAGCAAAGTGCTATTTCTTATTTGTATTTTTATATCGTTTTTTTTTCAGATGAACAATTTTAAACAATTTTTTTGGGGGGATGCCCAACTATTTCATTAAATAGTTGACTTGATACACTTTTTAGCCATCATGATTGTTAAAGGAATAGGCCTATCACCAAAGAGTCGATCAATAGCATAATGTTCGTCCTTAGTGCCTAATGTGTTTTCAATTAATTTAGTATTTAATTGTTTCCTTGGCATAAAAATGCACCCCCAAGAATAAGGCGCTTCGGGCAGTTGCCTGCTTTGGCTGTACCTAAGGCCTGCCCTACTGCTCAATATCCAGGCCCGCACCTGGGGGGGGGGGACCATGGCACTTGTCAGGGGCCCGAGCTAGACAGGGACCAGCCCTTTTTCGAGTTTTAAAATATTCGCCCCATGTTTGAAACAAGAAAGGGGCCCGAACTCTGTCAGCTGCCTGGGGCTCAGAATTTCCTAGTTGCGGGCCTGTACTATCTGCTATTATTCACCTGTAAACAAATCTATCAACCATTAAAAAGGCAATTATTACTTGACACACACCTTTCATCTATGCCATCATGATTACAAAGGTATGATTAAAAAATAATGAAATTCATTTTTCTATGCATGTTTTTTTTTAATTTTTTTATTTTGTATTGCGATTCTAATGTCACTTCCCATTTCTATATTTAGATATGACGTTGCAATAGGTGCGTGTATTGAACCCCATCTTGCCTCCTGTGAACTCTACCCCCATAATGGTATGTTACTCACACACATGTCAATCTGTTGTAAATAAATTATAATCTCTGAGACCTATGAAGACAATCTCTTCATGTTAACTTTTAACCCATTTAACAATTGGATTTCTTTAGCTGGCTTGCTTCCTCAGACTTGAGTACATACTGATAATGCTGCCTCACTTAAAAATGATATATTTTAAAGCTGACATGCTTCAACGGACCAACAAATGACAATAATTATGAGATATCTTCAAGCACCATCTTTTGTACGCTAAAATATTGAACATTATCAAACCCTCTTCCAGAGTGGCATACATCTGAGTTTCTAGGATCATGTATCATCAAAGTCGAAGCTGTTAGAACTTGTCATACGTTGCCCAAAGTTATTTTCGCTTACAAACAATATTATTTATGGTCACAGAAAACGAATCAACACATCTGGCACCGGCCCCTGGTGCACCGGCCCCTGGTGCAATTGCGAGACGTGCCCATAGGAAGGCCAAACTTAAAAGTTTGGGAAACGCTTCTCTATCTGCTCTATCTGCTCTATCTGATATATCTGCTCTATCTGCTTTCTCTGCTTTCTCTGTTCTGTCTCTTTTTAATGGACACCCTCCCATCTACTCAATCCCCCACCACCGCTGCCACCACAACCCACCCCACCACCACCACCAAAACCATCACAAACACCCCCACCGCCACCACCCCCACCCACCCCACCACCCCCCCCCACACCACCACCCCCCCCACCACCCCCACCACCCCCAACATCACCACCCACCCCACCACTCCCCCCACCACCCCACTCCCACCACCACTCCCACCACCACGACCACTACCACCACCACCACCACCAATGACACGCTTTCATACGTTATCTCACTGCTCCAATCCCCATTATTTCTTAGCTACAACAACTAGACGTAAAGGAAATGCTAACAACGGTGGATGTAAAAACAACTGTCGGCTCCCCGACTGCTTTTGTTTTGGAAGTAAACCTAAAACCCGTCCCTTGGATACGCCGATGTTTGTCATGATTACGTTTGATGATTTTGTCAACAATGATCTCTACAACAAGTTCTACAAACCGTTGTTCATTGACAACATTCACGAACTCTATAACCCAAACGGATGTCCTATAAAGTAGGTGGCGCTAGTGCATTAGTTGATTTGTCTAATTTCCCATGAATGGGTTCATGTGTGTGTAACTTCTTGTGGTTTCCAAACATCGGATTGTGAGAAAGAATAGGCCATGTGGACATTTGGCTATGTGGCCATGTGGCTACCTGGTTGTTTAACTGGAATGTTTACCACGGACGAGGCAGTGCTGCTGGCTTGCTGGGAGAGAGACATAGAAAATATAAAATCTAACAATAGATCTGTTATCAACTATGTCACGGGGCGGCAACCGTATAAGTCAGCGGTTCTCAACCTGAGGATCGCGACTCCTTTGCGGTAGAACGACCCTTACACAGGGGTCTTTTAAGACCATCGGAAAACTCATATTTATGAAGAAGCAACGAAAATAATTTTATGCTTGGGGGGGGGGGGGGGCACCACAACACGAGGAACTGTAATAAAGGGTCGCGGAATTAGGAAGGGTGAGAAGCAATGTCCTTTGCGGTAGAACGACCCTTACAAAGGGGTCTTTTAAGACCATCGGAAAACTCATATTTATGAAGAAGCAACGAAAATAATTTTATGCTTGGGGGGGGGGGGTGTCACCACAACACGAGGAACTGTAATAAAGGGTCGCGGCATTAGGAAGGTTGAGAAGCAATGGTATAAGTGTTGGTGGCATCAAGTATACATTAAATGTCGTATTGCACGATGAAGTAAAAATTGTTTTGTTTCTTTTAAATTTGGGGTGCGAGACGTAAGACCACAGAGGAAACAAATATTTATTTTCGGAAAGAAAAGAACAAGTGGACTTGTTCCACTTTCATATCATTTGAGTTTGTTGTGGATTGGCTTTAGGTAAACATGGGTTGGATGACGACACCTTGAATTGAAAGGGAAAGAAATAGTTCTTTTTAAAATAGTACATATTTTAAAATGATATCATTGGGCCTGTTTTAATATCCCTACTAAACTTAACGGAACCGAGTTAAGGAAAAGAAAAAAAAAATGATTTGGAACCGACCCAATTTGAAAAACTAGGCGGCGTCTATGGGCAAACTACTCTTTTTTTTTACACAAACTTGGACGTACCCCCTACTGGTTAAACGTCCGGTTACAGACGACTGGTTTCAATCTACGGGCAAAAAGTTTAACGATTTAGATATTTTCATGGAATATTGAATTTATATGAAAAAAATATGTTTGGGGGGGGGGGGGGGTGCTGGGACTCCTTTATGAATCATTGTGGAATCATATCAATAGTATATTTTTAATTAAAGAAAGGTTTATCATTATTGTGGGGAAAATGTGGAGAATCCGATGTAAAGGAAGTATCATTTTCTTGGATTATCTTTTTTCTCCCGTGTTTTTGAACCATTCTTCGGGGGAATTCCACAAATAACATAAAAATTATGGCCAACATGAGGACACTACAAAACTAGGGGGGTCACCTAAGAAATCGCCGTCAAAATTTAATTGGAGCAATAGTAAGCCCGTGGACGCTGTCAGTAAGTAATTCAGTTCTCCCGACATTCTGCCGTTTGTTGGTATCCTATTTTGAAACGGCGTTAGGCAAGAATGTGAAGATGTCTTAAGACACCAGTGCTTCTGCTGAGGGGGGGGGGGGGGCTGGGGGTGTGACCTCAAAGGTGTCACACAAGACATACATTAATTTATTAGAAATATTTTCTAAATTAAAGCATAAAAAAATTTGCATTTTCAAAAGAATGAGATCACTTTTATTAAATTGTTGGTATCCTATTTTGAAACGGCGTTAGGCAAGAATGTGAAGATGTCTTAAGACACCAGTGCTTCTGCTGAGGGGGGGGGGGGGGCGGGGGGTGTGACCTCAAAGGTGTCACACAAGACATACATTAATTTATTAGAAATATTTTCTAAATTAAAGCATAAAATAATTTGCATTTTCAAAAGAATGAGATCACTTGTATTAAAGGCATTGCTATTAATCATCACCACCAATGACCTCCTTGCCTCCAATGAAAAAGGTAAACAGGTCGATGCTATTTGCATTTTCAAAAGAATGAGATCACTTGAGGGTTAAGTCGGTATGAACATTTGTTTCATGGGCAGTGTTAGCCTCCCCCGAACTATACTTTTTGCAGACATGTCTGAGCGTGAAGAGACATGTGGTATGAAACACTATATGCATTGGCACACTCACAATCATACAAACTTTTGAGTGGCATAAGAACTTTCTTTAATTTAAATTACTGACAGGTCAATGACTCCGTGCTATGCCTGTGACCGTGGCCGTGGGTGACAAAAAAAAAGAGGGGGGGGGGGGGGGGGGTGGGGGGGCAAATACAAAAGGGGAAATGAGCAGAACCCAAATTTTAACAAAGGGCCGAAAGTGTTTTATCTACAAGAGGTGCATTTATTAAGCTATCGTTCGAGGTGTAAGTTAAGTTGGTTGATTACCTCGTTGTTGCAATTCTAGCAATGTATTTTAGGGAGGGGTTTTAAGTGTCGTCGAGAAATTGTTCGCTACATAAGGGGTCGTCCATTAATGACGTCAACAATTTTTACACAATTTTGACCCCTCCCACCCCCTAGTCAACAACTGTCAAACTTTCAATGACAACCCTATGTAATCATGTAAACATTTTCTACCCCCCCCCCAACCCAAAAAAGGAATTATTTTATAAATAAATTTATAATACATTTTACTTTTTGCTGATCTATTTTAATGACACAAAATTGTAGGAAAAAACATTTCGTTACATTGTTAGCTTATTAATCAACAAGTTAAAAAGTTTGTACACTTAAATTTTATAATGCATAATAAATTGAAAGGTTGTTAAAGACTAAATATCATTGTTTGGGGTATAACGATGATTATTGTCAGTAAAGCTTGATTTTAAAACAATTTTCTCTAAATATTGGAAAAACACATAATAATATGATATAAATTAATTTAATATTAAAGGAATTTGATGTATTGATATCTTAATAAAAAATGTAAACACACTTTTGCTTTGTTTTTCAAAAGGAACAGTTGAGGCGACAACACTAGACACATTTGTGTCTATTGCCTCCAGCCTTCAAACCCCTAGTGCATGATTTCCTCATCAACACCAGTAACAGAAACATTGCAAATCCCATCTACATGCATAGGAGCCAAAATGATCAATAAATTGATCGTGGGCCCTTAAGATATAGAAGAAGAAGATGAAGAAGACATTATACATTATCAGAAAATCGTAAAAGAAAGAATTTTTTTATCTCAAGAAGATTCTCGCAACCATTTTTCACGGCTATAAGAGACTTGTGTGTGTGTGTGTGTGTGTGTGTGTGTGTGTGTGTGTTTAAATAAAAGATTAAATTGTAAATCGCATAAAAATACACACTTGGTTACTTTTTGCAAAGCAAAAACAAAAATATATTTTTTATTTTTTTTTAAAGTAAATATTAACCCATCTCTATTTTTCAAAATTAATTTTTCAAGTGTGCAAAAATGATTGGGTTTTGATATTCATGGTTAGACTTATAGAAATGTACCCACGGTTTGTTAACGCCTTAAAAAAAAATTCTTAGTTGGTAAACATATGTTTATTTGTAAAAGGAGAATGTAACATCTCTTTTTTTCACAAATGTAATACCATATGAGTTAACTATATTGTCATCCACGTAAAAAATATATACATCTTATTTCCTACCGCCGATATGCATTTACCCAAGAAAATTAATTATTTAGCTAATTCATTCTTTTATTTTAAGACGTATCTTGTGCTGCTTGGGTAAATGAACATACACATATTTGTAAAAAGAGAATGTAATTTTTTTTTTTTTTTTTAAATGTAATACCATAGGATTTAAATACATTGTCATCCACGTACAAATTTACACATCCTATTTCCTTCCTTCGATATGTTTGTACCCAAGAAAGTTAATTATTTATCAAATTCATTCCTTTATTTTGAGACGTATCTTATGCTGTCTGGGGCAAAGTGATCCACCCCCCTCCTTCCCCCGATTTAAATAAAATTAATGACATCTTCCACCGGACTGTAGTCCCTTCCGTACCCAAACTAACAGATTTTGCATGTCATATGGTTTGTTTTATTTGGATGAGTTATAAGTGGATTAATGAATGCTATGGAGTTTCGCTGCACTGATTGACTTACATGACATTTTCTTATTGAAAGTATATTTAAAGGTTAAGTTTTTATTTTCGCTTTAAATTTTTAAAAGTATATTTTTTGGAATTTTAAAAAGTAAAAACTCATTAAAGGTTAAAAATATAAAGCTAAAATGTTTGTGTGTTTTATTAACAGTTCCAAAAGCAATCAATTATATTTTTAATTTTACTTTTAAGAAGGGGAAAATACAACATCATTTTTGTAACGCGCGGTTATTAAATCAAAGAATAGGCGATTCGTGCTATTGCGTCATTTGCGCTTTTATTTAGAAAAAACAATTTTAATTTGCTTTCGCAATATTAACAACGCACTAAANTATATATAGAGAGAGAGAGAGAGAGAGAGAGAGAGAGAGAGAGTGAGATATATATATATATATATATATATATATATATATATATATATATATAATAGTGGGGCTCTAGGGAGGAGCTTATGTTGTCAAGGTGACGTTGGTCGAAACATATTTGAGATCCAATATAATAAATAATACGCGTTAATTATTTTTCAATTATTATGTGAAAAGGTTGACTAATTATGTATATATATAATTATATTTAGGTCGATTATGTTGTGAAGTATTTTAATTTCTGAACATCTGGATAGAATGGGTCTGTTCGTGAGTCTTAACAACACCAACGTCACACTGGTTGAGGAGGCTTATGAAGCCGGGCATGAGATTGGTTCTCACACTGTCAACCATGGTGTACCTGAAGGTGCCAATCAAACGTACGCGGCTGTAGTTGATGCGGTAAGTTAAGAACATTTGACATCAGCCATTTTTTGAGTGGGGAGTAGGAATGAAGTGAGGTTTACATGTATAATCTCTTCATCCCATTCTCTGTTCAGTTTCTCAAAAAAAAACTTTATTAAAATGTATTTTAACCCCAAACAAGTAAAACTACCTTTATATCTTCCTTAAAATTTCTTTTTTTTTATCACCATTGTAGTTTCCTCCACCACCATTGTAGTTTCCTCCACCACCATTGTAGTTTCCCCCACCACCATTGTAGTTTCCTCCACCACCATTGTAGTTTCCTCCACCACCATTGTAGTTTCCTCCACCACCATTGTAGTTTCCTCCACCACCATTGTAGTTTCCTCCACCACCATTGTAGTTTCCTCCACCACCATTGTAGTTTTCTCCACCACCATTGTAGTTTCCTCCACCACCATTGTAGTTTCCTCCACCACCATTGTAGTTTCCTCCACCACCATTGTAGTTTCCTCCACCACCATTGTAGTTTCCTCCACCACCATTGTAGTTTCCTCCACCACCATTGTAGTTTCCTCCACCACCATTGTAGTTTTCTCCACCACCATTGACTATCGACCCTTTTTTTTCAAAATATCCTATTCAGGTGGGTTTTTTTTTTTTCTTTTACCCCCACTTTAGATTGTCGGAATGAAGCAGCGAATCTTAAAGATGACGGGAAACAAAGCCCTCCACGATTCTATCGTTGGGTTCAGAACCCCGTACCTGAAATGTGTCGGTGATATCAAGCTGGATGTGCTCAGAGATCATGGCTTTCTCTATGATTCCTCTTACACCAACACGGACATGCTGGGCGGCGTCGCGCCTCACTGGCCGTTCACACTGGATTTTTTCGCTAAAAGGTGTTTTTCTTGACTTGTGTACATGTACATGAATCTATCTGTATGTTCTCTTCCAACGTCAAATCATACATTTTCCACTCGTACACATTGTGATAATGGAGTGGTGATTTTTTTTTTTTGGACAAAATTACACATGGCATTAGCAGTTTATTTTTAATAAAAGCAATAATACTAAGTATTTTAAACCAATAACCAAATATTATCCAAACATTTTCTATAATAGTAAATATTTTACATGATCTCTTATACATAGTTTACTTCTGATGCTTCCTTGCTTCCATTTCTCAACCGGCCATCTTCCGGCTCAACTTGTTTTGTATTAATCGTATTGAGTGAAAAGTGAAAAAAAAAAAAAAACGCTGTCACACAGCGAGCGCCTGTCGTATCAGTTGAGGTCGGGGGAAAAATTTTGAATTTTTTTTTCTACACGGTGGAAGGATGACTATTATATAAATCAATAAAAGGCCATGGGTATGATGTAGGACTATTTGTAGGACTATCTGTAGGACTGTCTGCAGGACTTCAGTAGGACTGTCTGTCGGACTTCAGTAGGACTGTCTATAGGACTTCAGTAGGACTGTCTGTAGGACTTCAGTAGGACTGTCTGCAGGACTGTCTGTAGGACTTCAGTAGGACTGTCTGTAGGATTTCAGTAAGACTGTCTGTTGGATTTCAGTAGGATTGTCTGTAGGACTTCAGTGGGACTGTCTGAAGGACAATAGTAGGACTGTCTGGAGACTTCTGTAGGACTGTCTGTAGGACTGTCTGTAGGACTGTCTGTAGGACTCTCTGTAGGACTGTCTGTAGGACTGTCTTCAGGACTTCAGTAGGGCTGTCTGCAGGACTGTCTGTATTACTATTGTTTAAAGGCCGGCAGGTAGGGTGTAGGATTGCCTGTAGAACTGTCTGTAGGAATGTCTGTAGAACTGTCTATAGTATTATTGTTTAAAGGTCGATAGGTAGGGTGTAGGACTGTCTGTAGAACTGTCTGTAGGACTGTCAGTCCGTTGCACTATTGTTTAAAGGCCGGCAGGTAGGGTGTAGGAATGTCTGTATGCCCATTGTTTAAAGGCTGGCATATATTAAAAAAATTAGAAGAAACATTTGTTTTTGTAGCACTTGGAGCCAAATGGTATTTTGTTCAAAGTACCCGGACTTTTTGTAAAAACTGCACACGGTTAATTAATCCCTAGTCTTTAATATTGCTCTTATAGAATTAGTGTTAACCTTCATAGGGAGTCTGTCCCCAGGGGAAATAACAAATGTTATACTGAGGTGATTATTATTTAACGTAACGTTTATCCTCGCTTCCTGTCTTTTTTGCAGTGTTTCCAGACACCAGGGGCCGTCTCCCAATTTCCTAGTGCTCCTTACTTATCCGCCATTATCACTAGCCATCACATTCTTATGTCACCCCTCCCCCCCCCTTTTTTCCCGTAACTGTTCACTCTCCATCCCTTTCTAATGTCCCCTACATCTGTAGCCTTCTTATTTTGAAGTTGCATTTCAATGTTGGACTTTCTATACAGTTCTTCTCAAATATCCCAGGTGTGTCAACTGTCCTTGCCCTGAAAAACGTTACCCCGGCCTGTGGGAAGTCCCACTCAATGCCTGGTTGGGTGAAGACGGTCACGTCTGCAGCATGGTGGACGGGTGGACCTATGACGATTATGGCACGAAAGTGGACAGTGCAACAGCAGAACAGTGGTACAACTATTACAAGTAAGTTGAACAAAATAGTTGGCTCATGATGACTTGACCAAAGTGTTTCTATTAACTCAAAGTCTACCCAAGAGCAAAAATTCAACCACTTCCTTCGATATTTAAGTTTTGGGCATATCTTCACGACACATCACTGCGACACATCCCTGCGACACATCCCTGCGACACATCACCGCGACACATCACCTCGACCATCACTGCGACACATCACTGCGACACATCACTGCGACACATCACTGCGACACATCACTGCGACACATCACTGCGACACATCACTGCGACACATCACTTTGATACATCACTGTGACACATCACTGCGACACATCACTGCGACACATCACTGTGACACATCACTGTGACACATCACTGTGACACATCCCTGCGACACATCTCTGTGACACATCACTGCGACACATCACTGTGACATATAATGCGACACATCACTGTGACACATTAATATGACACATTCACTGCGACACATCCCTGTGACACATCACTGTGACACATCACTGCGACAAATCACTGTGACACATCACTGCGATACATCACTGCGACACATCACTGCGACACAAAACTGTTACACATCCCTGCGACACATCACTGTGACACATACTGTGACACATCACTGTGACACATCACTATGACACATTCACTGCGACACATCACTGTGACACATCACTGTGACACATCACTGTGACACATCACTGTGACACATCACTGTGACACATCACTGTGACACATCACTGTGACACATCACTGTGAAACATCACCGCTAGAAGCGGACAGGAAAAGAAGACTAAGAACGGTAACTTATTTTAACAGTGGACGTGTTGGGACATTCGTTCCCTTTGAAACCTGTTCAGTTGGCATCTGAATTTAATGAAAGCTTCAGGGAGAAAATATTTCCTTTTGGAAGATTTATGAAAGGAGGTTTGAAACATTCTAGAAATATATTTTTTTTGGTCTAAAAAAAAAAAGTGGTCTGCGAAATTGGGTAAATTACCTCAAAAGGGTAAAAATAAAACTCTTGGCGATAATGAGGGCTCACTAGACATATAATATAAATAAATATTTAAATATATATATAGTTGGTGCAGTTGATGATTTAATATATACCGTTCTCATGTTATAGTTGAGATAAGGCAGACGATAGGCTTGGACAGCTTTTTTCATGTTATAGTTGAGATGCATACGGTGGACTTGGACAGCTGTACTCATGTTATAGTTGAGATGATGCAGACGGTAGGATTGGACAGCTGTACTCATGTTATAGTTGAGATGCAGACGGTGGACTTGGACAGCTGTACTCATGTTATAGTTGAGATGCAGTGGGAAAGTGGCCATTATCCTTTGTAGAAACAAAATCGTGATAAATTGGTATTTCTTTAAATGTTGTTTTTTTTTCAAATCTAAAACAAAAATGTGTTAGTCCTACTTACTTAGACGTAAGGCGGTGAAAACATATTATAATGATGTAAAACAAACTGAATATCTAACCTGGTGTAAGAAAAAGAGAAAATCTAACCTGTTGTAAGACAAAGTGAACATCTAACCTGATGTAAATTATAAAGAATATGCTAAATGAGTTAAAATAAACAGGATACAAAAAAGGTAAATAAATTAATAATTCTAACATGAGTTAAAAAAAAGTAGCATAAAAAATATGAATATCTAGCATGGCGGACAACAGTGTTGTATCGCTTAAAATATGAATATCTAACATTGTGTAGAATAAAGTGAATATCTAAAAACTTTTACAAGTTCTAAAATTTACTTTAAAATTATTTTTTTTCCAAAAAATTATTTATACATTAAGATTTGATCAATGAAGAGATTAAGATTTGATCAATGAAGAGAGAGATAATGATTTATAATTTATAAAGAATTATTCAATTTAGTAGAGTCAGACTACTTTCAAGTACCTCGGCTATTTTGAACAGGAAATTTTCAACACATCCCACACAATAAAACGAATGTAAGGCCCGAATGCCTTTTTCTATCTTTCTTCCCCAGCCGCCACTTCCTCAAATATCTCCGCCCGCACAAGGTGCCCATGTCCTTCTTCAGCCACGGCCACGTATTCTTCAAATCTCCCAGCTCCTTTGTCGCGCTGGGTCAGTGGTTGAAGGACTTGCTTCAAAAATATCCGGACGTTTGGATCGTTCCACCGAAATGGGTCATCGAATGGATGAAAAGGCCGCTGACCGTCTCCGAAATGATAGCTAAAAAATGGGGTTGTTAGTGATCAGTTAGAGCTATTGTCACGTAATTCGGATAGGGACCAGTCATAAATGTGACTTCACATTGCTTGAATCCCCCCCCCCCGGGTCCCAATCGCAACACATCGTCACAAAAATGTTAACCAACCCCCCCCCCCCCAACACACAGCTTTTCTCCTAAATGCTGAGGTCCTTTATTGATGACCTCTTACAGCAGATAATTTGGGGGGGGGGGGTGGGGAATGCCCGAAAGAAATTGTTGAACAGCTTATGAAAAATGAATGTGTCTATATGCGGAAATGATTTATGACCTGTTTTGTTCCATGGAGACCCTTTTAATATGAAGTTTTTAAATGCCTAGAGAGGAATTGCAGCACACGGAGCACGTGACACCATCACACGGAGCACGTGTCACCATCACACGGAGCACGTGACACCATCTCAAGGACCCCGTGGACCACATGTTAAGAGTCCCTTATAGGCACAAATCTTTTTTAAAAATTTAGAAATAAATAAATATCTATATTGTGGGATTAAGGTAAGGATAATTATTTGTTTACATGTAATTTACATTGGCGAGTTGTTTCGCATTATTCCGAGGGAAACTCTTGAAGTATTTTTTTTTATTAAACCTGGTTTGAACCCTGGTGCTGATTTTTTTTTCTTAATTGTGTAATATTAAAATTTAAAAAAAAAACAATAACAAAAAGAACAATTTTCCACAATGCGTAAAAGGGAGCTAATGTCGAAAAAAAGTTCTATTGAATTAACTGATTGTTCAATTTTGATTATAAAGAATTTTTAAACAAAATCTGTATTATAAATAATAAAAAAAGAATAAGATTTTTAAAATAATTATTTCATTTCCAATTTTTTTATCAAGCCTGATCTGACTGTTTTATATAAGATAGGGCTGCGACTATTGGTACCCGGGTACCAGAAGTGAGAGGTTGGGATTAAAAAAACTATTTAACATTTTTTTATTTTTGGGTGGGTGGGTTTGGAAGACAAAATGTGGTATCAAATGAAATATAATTGAATAAAAAGCTGTTTTGATTGAGCCATAGAACGGTGTTTTGTTTAGATCATTGAGGTTATGTTTTGTTCAGGCAATAAAATTGGTGTTTTGTACATTCCATATAATTTGTGTTTTTGTAGGCCATAGAATTAGTTTTTGTTTAGGCCATAGAATTGGTGCTTTGTTTGGCCATATAGTTTTTATTTGTTTACGCCATAGAATTGATTTTTGTTTAGGCCATACAGTTGTTGTTTTGTTTAAGCCATAGAAATTGTGTGTTGTTTAGGCCATAGAATTGATTGTTTGTGTCATCCTCACGTGCAATTACATGGACAGCTTGCCATTAGAGATGGTGATAGATCAGAGCTTAAAGTGCTGAAAGGTCGCGATGTGTTTACGACATCAAGGGTTATGGGTTTTTCCACACAAAAAATAATATTTATTAATTATTGATTTATATTTTACATACCTGCCATTGGTGGAAAAAGGGGGGGGGGGGAAGTGGGGATCAACTAATAACAAGGAGGGATGACACACAAACTAAGCTTTCTTGAATATGGACTAGGCATGGAGATGGGTGAGGCATGGATATGGGCTAGGTATGAATATGGCCTAAGCACGAATTCACACAAAAAATAATTTTTATTAATTATTGATTTATATTGTACATACCGGCCATTGGGGGAAAAAGGGGGGGGGGGGGAAGTGGTGATCAACTAATAACAAGGAGTGATGACACACAAACTAAGCTTTCTTGAATATGGACTAGGCATGGATATGGGTGAGGCATGGATATGGGCTAGGTATGAATATGGCCTAAGCACGAATATGGACTAGGCGTGAATGTGGGCTAGGCATGGATATGGACTAGGCATGAATATGGACTAGGTGTGAATATAGACTGGGCATGAATATGGTCTACGCATGAATATGGAGTGGGCATGAATATGGACTTGGCATGAATATGGACTAGGTGTGAATATGGGCTAGGCATGAATATGGATTAGGTGTGAATATGGACTAGGCATGGATATGGACTAGGCATGAATATGGACTGGGCATGAATATGGACTAGGTGCGAATATGGACTAGGCATGGATATGGACTAGGCATGAATATGGACTGGGCATGAATATGGACTAAGCATAGATATGGACTAGGTGTGAATATGGACTAGGCATGAATATGGACTAGGCATGAATATGGACTAGGCGTGAATATGGACTAGGCATGAATATGGACTAGGCATGAATATGGACTATGCGTGAATATGGACTAGGCATGAATATGGACTAGGCATGAATATGGACTAGGCGTGAATATGGACTAGGCATGAATATGGACTAGGCATGAATATGGACTACGCATGAATATGGACTAGGCATGAATATGGACTAGGCATGAATAAGGACAAGGCATGAATAGGGACTAGGCTTGAATATGGTACATTAAATCACATTGTATTAAAATATCAACTGCGTATCGAAAAGAACGAGTTATGATAAATGAAATGTGCGCACAAGTTACTGAAATCAAATTACTTTATTTATCGTTCAGTTGTCTGTCAAAGTAAGCACACAAATTCCCAGGGTTTAGATTTATTTTCAGTGCAAGAACAGATTTTTATTTCGCTGAGACAGGACTTTTCTGCTCATTTTGGAAGATTTTCAAATTTTGCCTGCAGTGCTGTAAGACAATTTCTGATGCTTGTCGTTAAGACAGAAAGAGTATGCCACTTTGTTGCGATTACAGACTTGGTTCACGTATTGTTATTAACAGAAATGTAACGAAAATGCCTGCACTTCGTGACAAAGACAAGGTTACACAACCAAATGAAGACTGAATGTCAGGTTTCATTCTGATGATCATACATACACATATTGAACATACACAAACGAACATAAACATTTGTATCGTTTTCTCCAAAGTTGATCAAATATGACACTAATAACAAACTTGAAAGTTGATCAAATATGACACTAATAACAAACTTGAAAGTTGATCAAATATGACACTAATAACAAACTTGAAAGTTGATCAAATATGACACTAATAACAAACTTGAAAGTTGGTCAAATATGACACTAATAACAAACTTGAAAGTTGGTCAAATATGACACTAATAACAAACTTGAAAGTTGATCAAATATGACACTAATAACAAACTTGAAAGTTGATCAAATATGACACTAATAACAAACTTGAAAGTTGATCAAATATGACACTAATAACAAACTTGAAAGTTGGTCAAATATGACACTAATAACAAACTTGAAAGTTGATCAAATATGACACTAATAACAAACTTGAAAGTTGGTCAAATATGACACTAATAACAAACTTGAAAGTTGGTCAAATATGACACTAATAACAAACTTGAAAGTTGGTCAAATATGACACTAATAACAAACTTGAAAGTTGATCAAATATGACACTAATAACAAACTTGAAAGTTGGTCAAATATGACACTAATAACAAACTTGAAAGTTGGTCAAATATGACACTAATAACAAACTTGAAAGTTGGTCAAATATGACACTAATAACAAACTTGAAAGTTGGTCAAATATGACACTAATAACAAACTTGAAAGTTGGTCAAATATGACACTAATAACAAACGTGAAAGTTGATCAAATATGACACTAATAACAAACTTGAAAGTTGGTCAAATATGAAACTAATAACAAACTTGAAAGTTGGTCAAATATGACACAAATAACAAACTTGAAAGTTGATCAAATATGACACTATTAACAAACTTGAAAGTTGGTCAAATATGACACTAATAACAAACTTGAAAGTTGATCGACTCAATTAAAATTATTCGCGATCTGAAAAGATGTTTTTAAATCTATTCGTGGATGACAATTATTGTGTAAATTTATACTTTTTGATTTAATAAAGTCATCAATTTTAAGTTTTCAGGTACGTCCACAATTTCACATTATTATGGGGAAAAAAAGGGGTATCAAATGGCTAAACTTTAGAACCAATCTTTTTGTGTAAGGGTTTTAAACATTCACTAGGTAAGCACATAAGCCGTCGTCAATAACGTCACTGACGTTGGATCGCGTGGTATGATGGGGGTTAGATGAGAACATCTCTTTGAAGGTTTTAACGCCGAGTCAGTCCAGCTGTCAATAGTGTGTGTGTAGACTTGAGTTACCTTCATAATAACTTTTTGTGTTATAATTTAAAATTTCACTTGAAGTAGTGAGCACCAAAATGTGCGCAGTACACACCTGGTCAAATGGCGCGTTTCCCGATAAGAGTGGCTGTTTGCGTTGATCAGTTTGAGAACCAATTAGTGACCAAAAAGAGAAGAAAAAACTCTCAGCGTCATCACCCTATCGGACCGTGCACATATTATATATCGAAGGGGGGGGGGTAATGGGGTAGTTTATAATTTGTTTGTATGTGTTATATGTGGTTGGGGGTGGTAAGGTGAAATGTTGTAAAACAATTACTTTTAAATTATTTTTTTTTGGTACATTTTTGCTAATATTTCGTTTTTGAGTCTGATCTTGCATCGATTGATTTTGATCACGTGATTCACAGTTTTAACAGGAAAAAAATCTAGGAAAGAATCTAAGCTTACCAGAATATAAATGCCATAACATCTTAACTATAATGATTGCGATATTGTTTCATTATTGTTTATATTTACATTATTATTATTATTATTATTAAAGTGCTTTAATGTAGGGTTAGGCTCACTGCACTCCACATAAAAATTAGCAATTACAGAAAATTATAGATTTAAAAACGACAATTGGTGAAAAGCTTGACCTCACCACCCAAGTTCTATTTACCCCTGTCCAGCCATGGACAGCACTCACCCAAGTACTATCTACCTCTGTCCAGCCATGGACAGCACTCACCCAAGTACTATCTACCCCTGTCCAGCCATGGACAGCACTCACCCAAGTACTATCTACCTCTGTCCAGCCATGGACAGCACCCACCCAAGTACTATCTACCCCTGTCTAGCCATGTACAGCACCCACCCAAGTACTATCTACCCCTGTCTAGCCATGGACAGCACCCACCCAAGTACTATCTACCCCTGTCTAGCCATGGACAGCACCCACCCAAGTACTATCTACCCCTGTCTAGCCATGGACA